GTTAATCGTTACATCCCTAGTCTTAAACTCATTAAAGTTGTGCTATTATAGTATTTATTCATATTTTAAATTAGCTCTTATTTTTAGATTTTAGTTTCAGTAATTTTGTGCTATTGTCAGTTTTATTTTATTTTTTTATTCTATTTAGCTTTATTTTATTTTAGTTTTAGTAATTTTAGAACTTCAACATAAACTTATATTTCAGGTAGTTTCCAAGGCAACCTTTCTATTATTATTTTTTTAATTATTATATGTAAAGCTTAAAGAAAAATACTGTTAAAAACCATTAAATTAATACATAATTATTTTGATCTTATTTGTTTTTATTTATTATCTTTATATTTATTACTTCAATGTGGATACATATTTATAATGTATTTTGTTATTGTACATTTACTTTTAGATTGAGTAATTTTAAGTGCTTGTCATTTTTTTTAAATAATTCTATTTATTTTTATTTCTGTATTAGTTTCAGTAATTTTAGTGCTTCAACTTGCCAAGGCAACATTTCTAATTTTATTTAATTTTATTTTTTAGGGTAATTATATTTAAAGTTCAAAGAAAAACACTGTTAAAAGACACAGTTTAATTAATGCATATTTATTTTGATCTCAATATTTGTATTTTTTTTATATTATATATTAAATGTGCATATATAATTATTATCTATTATTTTACATTGATTTTTTATATTTGTTTTCCAGTTGAATGATATTTAAACTTCAACGATAAACACTGTTAAAAAGATGGTTCAGTAGATGCACATTTATTTTGATCTCATTCATTTTTATTTATTATTTTATATTAGGTATTTCAATGTGCATACATATTTATATATTATTAATTTGTATCTATTTATTTACATGTATTTTTTGTTTGTGTTTCAGTTGAATTATATTTAAAGTTAAAAGAAAAACGGTTCAGTAAATGCACATTTATTTTGATCTCATTTATTTTTATTGTTTAAATGTGCATATATATTTATATATATCTTTTTTTTTTCAGTTGTATTTATGGATTTTTCAGTTTCTATGTTTTTCAGTTAAAATTATATTTAAAGTTCAAAGAAAAACAATATAAATATTAGATGAAAATGATTTTCATCTAATATTTTTATTTTATTTTATTATTTTATTTAAGCTTTATTTTAAGAAAAGAAACCAGCCTAATTTTTCGGTTTATGCTTTTTTGATCTACATTGTTTCCTGCAAATATGCAGATGATATATTTAAATTAATACTTCATCAATTACTTTGTCATTGGCACAGACATTTTTTGAAACAATATAGATTCATGGCTGAATGTCTTGAATTTATTACTTCAGCAGGATTATTGAATTGAATATTAACTGATTTATATTTAAATTATATATGTGACCCTAGAGCACAAAAGCAGTCTTAAGTCTCTGGGGTATATTTGTAGCAATAGCCAACAATACATTGTATGGGTCAAAATTATAGATTTTTCTTTTATGCCAAAAATCATTAGGATATTAAGTAAAGATCATGTTCCATGAAGATATTTTGTAAATATCCTACCGTAAATATATCAAAACATTTTTGATTAGTAATATGCATTGCTAAAAACTTCATTTGGACAACTTTAAAGGTCCACCAAACAATGTAGCTCCTCAGAAACAGTTGTGGTTGCCGAGCAACACACAAACGTAAACAAAGGTGTATGTTACTTTGTAGAGCGAGTTTCGAACGCGGCTCAGCCAATCAGAATCAAGCACCGGAACTCTCCAGTTTATAAATAATTATTATATTATAGTATAGTATAGTAGTATATTATTATACATATATACTGTATATATAGTAAGTGAGATGATGGAGTTTATAGGTGCAGCAGTGAGGTGTTTGTGTTTGATTCAGGCGGTGTGACGCGGATGACGGTGTCTCTGGTGGTCATCATGTTCGAGCTGACCGGGGGTCTGGAGTACATCGTTCCTCTGATGGCGGCTGCCGTCACCAGTAAATGGGTGGCCGATGCGTTCGGGAAGGAGGGCATTTATGAAGCGCACATCCAGCTCAACGGCTATCCGTACCTGGACCAGGACGAGTTCACGCACCGCACGCTGGCCACCGACGTGATGCGACCGCGCCGCAACGAGCCGCCGCTGGCCCTCCTCACGCAGGACAGCACCACGGTGGAGGACGTGGAGACGCTCATCAAAGACACCGACTACAACGGCTTCCCTGTGGTGGTCTCGCACGAGTCTGAGAGACTCATCGGCTTCGTGCAGAGACGCGACCTCATCCTGGCCATCAGTAAGACACGCGTTCACACACGCTTTTGCCCTGAATGTGCTGCACTCTGAAGCTTTAACGTGCTGAAGAAACAAAGCCACCTACATCTTGGATGCCCTGGGGGTAAGCAGATAAACATCACATTTTCATTTTCGGGTGAACTATCCCTTTAACTAAGCAAATTTAATGTTAACGTTTCCTACAGGTCTTAAAGCTCAAATTTGAAATCTGTTTACATGCATTTATGATTGTTTTGTAGCCTTTTGAAAATATTCAATTTGTATCGGTGTATATTTGTGTGTGTCGTTGTAGTCAACTACATTCAAAACACTTAATGCATTTAATTTTTTGTTGTTGTTTTTGAAAGAATTCTCTTCTGCTCACCAAGGGTGCATTTGAACGAATAAAATAATTTTTACGTAAAGTTTAAAATTTGGAAAAAAAAAAATTTATATAAATGTGATAGAGTAAAAATTTTGAAATATTTTTAGAATTTAAAATAACTGTTTCTATGTGAATATCTGTTAAAATGTAATTTATTTCTGTGATCAAAGCTGTATTTTCAGCATCATTACTCCAGTCTTCAGTGTCACATGATCTTCAGAAATCAGTCTAATATGCTGATTTGCTGCTCGAGAAACATTTCTGAACTGAAAAAAAGCTTACATTGAAGAACTACAGTTACTGTTACTAAAACTGAAATAAAATAAATTAATTAGAATTATTTATAGAACAAAACCTAACAAGTCAGAAGCACATAACAAAATTACCAAACTTAAACTAAACTGAAATAAAATGTTTAAGTACTAAAATTACTAAAACTGAAATAAAATAAAATAAATTACCACTAAATAGAAATAAAAAATAAGCATATAACAAAATTACTAAACTTAAACTAAAATTAAAAGGAATAATATAAACTAAACAGAAAATATAAAATAAAAGCTCCCTGCCAACAGTTGTTAAAAAGAACTACAGCTAAAACTATTAAAATATTTGTCTGTAATTGAAATAAAGCTGAAATAAAATAAAATATAAATATTAAATAAAAAGCTGAAATAAAATAAGTTTTAAGTTGATGTACTAAAATTACTAAAACTGAAATAAAAATAAATTAAACAATTATTTAAAAAAAAAATGACTGAAACACAATAAAATTACTAAATGAAAACTGAAGATATAAAATAAAAGCTAATTGAAATATGAAAAAATATGAATAAATACTATAATAGTATATAATGTATATAGTACTAAGTTCCATTCAAAATGTTAATGCAAGAAGTAAAATACAGTAAAAAATAAGTGCTATTCATAAAATAGCAGTTTATGTGTTCATTTAACTATTTATATGCACTACTGTGCATTAATTTTTATTTTTATGTTGCGAGTCTCTTCTGCTCACCAAGGCTGCATTTATTAATTATTGCATGAAATATATTACTATTATACTTAATACAATTACTATTGTAATTACATATATATATATATATATATATATATAAGGAAAATAAAATTAATTATTAAAATTATAATAATATTTCACAGTGTTGTTTTTACTGTATTTTTTGGTTTAATTACTGTAATTGAATATTTATTTAATGATTCATTTACAGTTTCAAACAACTCCTTCACCGTCACTGACCACACGCCCATGGAGACGGTGGTGGACATCTTCCGCAAGCTGGGCTTGCGCCAGTGTCTGGTCACACGCAGCGGGTGAGAAGCTGATAATGATGCTCAAAACTGCACATGTTAGGATTCGAAAGTTGTATCTGTTAACATTAACATCTGTGAATCCTGAAAAATTAAATATATCACGGTTTCCACAAAAATATTGTGCAGCACGACTGTTTTCAACATTGATAATAATCAGAAATGTTTCTTGAGCAGCAAATCAGCATATTAGAATGATTTCTGAAGATCATGTGACACTGAAGACTGGAGTAATGATGCTGAAAATACAGCTTTGATCACAGAAATAAATTACATTTGAACAGATATTCACATAGAAAACAGCTGATTTAAATTCTAAAAATATTTCAAAATTTTTACTGTATTTTCGATCAAATAAATTCAGCTTTGCTGAGCACAAGAGACTTTCCAGAAACATTAAAAATTCTTACCCCCAAACGTTTGAATGATAGTGTATGTACTTCATATATAAATACATTAGAATGTGTCCCGTTTAATTTATTTAATAAAAAAAAAAGACTATTACTATGATTTACAGAAAAATGTAATTCAGTGTAACAGTTCATATACCAAAAAAAAAATCAAGAATCATTAGATGGCATTAAAAGACTCTAATTAAGGAAATCTCATTTGAAATCTTTGGCTCTTATCCGTCAAACCAGCAGGTTTTAATCATTTCAAATCGAATCAGATTTAGCAGATCACTTTTCTTTGATATATTTAATAAGTTCAGGTCAGAATAAGTACGTTGTTTGAGTTTTACATAAATATCTCTGTTACACTGAATGACTTTACTTGCATTTAATATGCTTTCTATGTATATCAAATCACTTCTGTACATTTAATTGGATGCAGACGTTAAAATATAGTCTGGTTTTACATATAAAATGTGGACCAGACTTTATTTTAACGGGTCAGATCAAGCAAACGGATGAGATCAAATCCCCTTCTAAAGCATGAGGTTTGGTTAAACTACTGACGACTAAAGCATCTTCTCTCTGTCTTACGTCAGACGTTTGCTGGGAATCATTACTAAGAAGGATGTTCTGAGACACATGGCACAAATGATGAACCAGGATCCCGGATCCATCATGTTCAACTAGACTCCACTGTCCGATCTGTTAGTAAACGCAGTAAAACGTGGCCAAAAGCGGACGGCGTGAAGATATACCAGTGTTTTTTACTGCTGTTTTTATCATATTTATATTTGACATGCATTACTTTAAGCCGTGCTGATCAACTGTTAAACAGGTGGGATGAAAATGAGGTGTTTTTGAAAGCTGCTGTATTTGATGTGAGATGTGCAGAGGAGGCTATATTATTATATTCATTTATTAAAAGGGTCAAAATAGAACAAATAATCCAGAATACTAATCTGCTGTATGATAGTGACTGTTTCATCCAACACTAGGTTTGTGGGAATCATTTCTGTTGTGTTGTTATTTATTAATGTTAGTTTTTATCTACAAGAATGGTGAGTTTTTTTTGCTGTTGTATTGAAACATGAATATTGTCCTTGTAAAATAAACACTGCATCTCTGTTACAGATATTAATGTTCATCCGCTGCTCCAGTTCAGCACATAAAAATGAGGGTATGTTATAATAATAAAAAAATATTGTTATTTTTATTGCATTATTTTATAAGATTTAATTCATAAAATATTTTCAGAAAGTACGGTGAAAATAATATAGAGCTCAAAAGATAAACAGTGAGTTAAAGGGTTCTCGTATGAAATATTATTAATAAATGATGACGTATTATTGCATTATTTTATTGGATTTAATTCTTTAATTCATAATTTTTTTTAGAAAGCACAATAAAAAATTATAAACAACTCAAAAGATAAATCTTGAAAGACTGAGTTATTTTGTCTATGAAACATTAATAATTGCATATTATTGCATTATTTTATTAGATATTATTCTTTAATTCATAAAATATTTTTAGAAAGTACAATAAAAAAATTATAAACAACTCAAAAGATAAATCTTGAAAGACTGAGTTATTTTGTCTATGAAACATTAATAATTGCATATTATTGCATTATTTTATTAGATATAATTAATTCATAAAATATTTTTATGAAGTACTTTGAAAACGATAGACAGCTCAAAAGATCAAACTTGAAAGACATACAGCGAGTTAAATGCTTTTGTATAAAATATTAATATTTAATGATGTATTTTTGCATTACTTTATTACATTTGATTCTTTAATTCATAACATATTTTCAGAAAGTACAATGAAAATAATATACAGCTTAAGAGATAAAACGTAAAAGACACACTGTGAGTTAATGGGGTTTTGAATGAAATATTATTAATAAATTATGATGTATTATTGCATTATTTTATTAGATATTATTCTTTAATTCATAAAATATTTTCAGAAAGTACAATGAAAAAGATATACGGTTGCAAAGATAACACTTAGAAAACTCTCTTCACAGGAAAAACTATTAAAAATTAAAAAATTGAGAACTGTAACACTATAAATAAATGTGCATATATTTATGTTTTCAAAGTAGAAGACTGATGAAGTAAAATATCTGATTATTATTATTATTATTATTATTAGTATAACAATGAGAGAGCATATTATGCTACTGTGTTTCTTTTTACAGTAACTTTTACATGTCACAGTTTAACAGAAACAAACTCAAATGTATCAGATCTGCTTTTTCCATTCACACACAGTTAAAAAGTGTAAAACGCTTCTTCAAACAGTAATTTCATCAAAAAGTATAAGGAAAAGGATGCAGTATGCAATGATAAACATTTCAAACTGTAGTATGCTACGTTGTTGTCACATGACCTCACTAGTTGAGTTTGTTTCTTCATCAGATTTGTAGAAATGTAGCATTGCATCAGTGTCTCACTGCAAGTGAATGGGTGCCGTCAGAATGAGAGTCCAAACAGCTGATAAAAACATCACAATAATCCACAAGCAATCCACAGCACTCCAGTCCATCAGTTAACATCTGGAGAAGACAAAAGCTGAAACAAATCCAGCATTAAGACCTTTTTAACTAAAATACCATAGAGTCCATAATCCATAATAACTCTTCCTCCAGTGAAAAAGTGTTCTGGTGTGAATCAGGAGAGAAATCTGCACAGATCAAGCAGCGTTTAAACAGCTCTAAACAAATATGTGGCTGGATTTTGATGTGAGAGACAACAGCAGATGCACTTCTTCACTGGAGGAAGCGTTATTATAGATTATGGACTCGTATTTTAGCAACGGTTTGGCCTGAGAATGAGCACATTTTCAGCATATTTTATCAGCATTTTTGGCTGAACCATTCCTTTAACTTTCAGCAGTCTGATCAAATAAGTGGAAACGCAGATGTTAAAGGGGTCATATGATGCGATTTCAGTTTTTCCTTTCTTTCTCTTTGGAGTGTTACAAGCTCTTGGTGCATAAAGAAGATCTGTAAAGTTGCAAAGACTAAAGTCTCAAATCCAAAGAGATATTCTTTATAAAAGTTAAGAGT